ATCACCTCGGTTCAATTTAATCCCGGGGCGACATCAGCATCACCAGCCACACATTTCTCACCGCGCGTCTCAAAGCTTACAATTGGTTTGCCCCCAGTGAGCGATCTGACGCGTGTAATAAATTTTTGAAAGTGAATTGGGAAAAAAGGGATGTCTGTGGAAAGAGGGTAGGATGTCTGAGTCTTTTTATCTTGTTTTATAGCTCCAAGCTCATCGTCGAACGAGCGCAATCTTTTCAATCCATCTCTCAACCTTCCTGCCTGCTTGTAAAGCTTTAACTTTTCTGAGTTAATTTTCCTTGAATTTTCTGTAATGACCTCCGTTACCCATAGGGGGCTACATCGTATAGTGACTCTAATAAAATACTGTAGGTGGAAATGTGTACTCATGAAAGTGTATGGCTAAAAACTGGACTCAATTGAACCTATTTCATTCAGACAGATCCACCACTTTTTCATTGCGGTTTCACAAATATGTGCCCTTAAGAGATCAGCCTCCACACAAGTTCCTCATTATCAGTAGGATTGGAATGTATTAACCGTAAGTTGGGAAACATATACTGTATAGGTTTAAAAGAAAAAACACCTCAATTCATACAAACACATATCTTCAATATCTTGGATGTGAAGAGAAGCCCTTTTGATAATCCACAGTACTACAGGGTCTCTATTGGAGTCGACTGAAAGGAATCAACAATATACAGCCAATGTCCTTTCCCCTCCCAATCCATTTCCTTAGTAAGTTTCTAGAGCTCATGGTTACAATTCTGCTACCTCTGATTCTTAAACCAGGTGCCACAGATTAAACCTGTAAACTTCCGGAGGCAAAGCATCTAGTTTAATTAAAGAACTCCTTGGTCTATAATGGTAAGAACATCACATTAACAGTGTTAATAGTAATATTTTATGATGAATTTTAAAAGCAATTCCTTGCATTTATGCTTTGCATATAATGAACTGATTTGATCAGTATGTTTCATTTTTTCCTTGGCAAAGCTGTGACATCCAGCTTTTGCTGATTAATAAAACCTGATAGTAAAATCAATCATCTAAACATGCTTTCATATTTACACTTTGTTTACAATCAGCAGAACTGTCTTTCAGAGTTTAAACCTGATCTATATAGAATACTAACAATATTTTTTGAGATATGTGGAGATAGCATTTGTGACCCACATCACATACTGTATATTTACATTTTGCTGATTCATAGGATCACTGGTCAGGATAGTTGTGCAAATTTCTTTAGCACCAGTAATAGTGGCATAAAGGTAAAACTGAATGCCATCATCATGACCAACACTATTTAGATGTGCTTCTGTCTCTCGTAAGCACTACTTGATGGGGTCTACAATACTATTCACTGATGAAGGGTTAGAGATGGATGAATATGTCATTTTCACTTTCTCCCACATCTGATTTTTTTAAAAAATATTCAAATTATTTTGATCCTATTTGTGAACAAATTTGTGAATGTTGGTTATTTACCAGAAACAGCTACATGAAAATTTCTGGCAAAAACAAAACAAATATTAAAAAATGAAATGACAAAAATGTGCATTTTAAAGACTAACTGCTATATTTTATCGTGGGCATTCGTGGTCAAGTCCACTTCTTCAGATAATCTGCTTTCATGGACTTATTTAAAAAAACTTGCATATACATACATACATATATGCATATATA